CAAGTCTGACGAACTAAGCTTCAAGGAGCTACAAGCCAATCTGAAGATCACCTGAAACCCCCAAGCCCTCTGTAGAAGTCACTCATAGTCTAGTCACTGCTCACCCTCTCTTCTTTTATTTTTTAGACAGAATTTTTGCTATAGGGCACATGCCCTCGCTGGAGAAACAGACACAGAAAGACTTGTCTGTTACCCTCCAGGGGAGATGGCCATGCCACTATCCATTCTCCTCCATTCTCCTCTAGAGATCTTGGGTGTACACACACACACACACACACACACACACACACGCCTGGCATGAGATTTAGGCCGCCAGGTCTGGGACTCAAACCACAGTCAATTATGTGGGAGTCCAGCGACATAACTGTTATGCCATCTGCTGGCCCCCATCCTATCTCCTACCAGATTCCGCAACTCGGGTTGTATTCATGTCTACATCTCAGCACTGAACATGGCAAGGAGCATATGGCAGACAGTAATACATCTTCGTTGAACTGAACAGAATGAGTTCAATATTTGTAAGTACATTTCATCTTTGCTACTAGAGTATAAGTTCTTTGAGAGTGAAGACTGTGTCTTGCGCTAATAAAGATTTATTAAAGAGATGGAAAAATACCAAACCAAGAATCAGGTTTTGTAAACCCAGCTCAGTCATTTACCAGCTGTGCAACCTCAGAAAAGTCACTTAACACTTCTGCGCCTTATTTTTCTCACCTCGAGAATGACAAGTTGGGACCACATGTTCTCCGAGGTCCCTCAGACTCTAAAAGTAGATGGAAGCCTTAGCTACAAGATGGCACTTGGGCCACTCCTGGGCTTGTCAGGTCAGCTTGCTAATTTGCTTTCTTGATCTGCTGTTTCCCAATACATGGCTATGAATAATTTGGAAGTCTGTTTTTAACGCACTCATTTGTGGTCAAATCATTTCCCTTGCAAAGCGAGGATGCCCCATCACCCAAGCTAGTGCTCCAATGACCCAGGGCACATTCAGACCGAGGGGCACATTTTGCACACTGATCCAGACCCCTCCCGGAGACCTCACCTCCAGAGCAAAGCACAACACACATGGCTCACAAAAGTTAACTTAGTACAGAAAGAAAGTTGAACCTGGCCTTTTGACTTTGAAGTGATCACATGATGCCTCTACCCAAAAAGTTGTGTGTTTTGGGTTTTGGTTATTTTAGGCAGTGCTATGTGTGGCCTGAAGGCCCAGAGTGTTTGGCTCAGAGAAAATGCTCACCCCACAGTCCTGCCCAAAACTGTATGAAAACGAAAGTTGTGCAATAAATGAGGCCCAAGTTCAAGACTTCAGAAATGCATTCTAATCCTATCTGAATCTGGCCGGCTGTCTCACCTTCTTATGGGTACACCTTCCTAATTCATCTAGTATGTTAACCTGATTATTCCCCCTACCTCTCTCTGTGTGATACAAGGCTAACTGTCCAATATGCTATGTCTATCTGATGGTCTTAAACTCAAAATGAAATCTTCCATAAGATGACCAAGAAAATCTCCTGAAAGGGGAACTAAATTAGCTAGTTTCCCCTTTCAAGGCTTTGTAGAAGTTGTTATCCAACGCTCACGAGTCCGCGAAGCTACTATCACTCGGCTAGTGAAGGTACTATCACCAGGCTACTTCACAGATAAGGAGGCTGAGATTTCATAATGGTAGACAGTGCACCCAAAGTCACAAAGCTAGGAAGGGACAGCTCAAGGATTCCAACGTAAACCAGGGGTCTTAGCCTTCTGCAAGAATGCCTCATTATTGGGCTTGTTAATCTCTGGAACGAGCCACTTGGGGTCCTCATCTCATCGACATGCTCGGGCAGCGGCCACAAGAACACATCTAGGAATCAAAGGGGAGGGTGCCTGGTCCGTGCAGAGTGCCGGACCAGCTGACTCCAAGCTCCCAGTTGTGTTGTGTTTATTCAGAAGGCCCTCCCAGATGTGCAATTAAAAGCCTTAACCTCCTCGTTTTAAAAAAAACTTCTCTCCTCTCTGGGCAAGGTTCCTACTTCTGACAAGAATGCTGAATTCATGACATGTCATACAGCCGAATACCCAGCACCTGCCTCAGGCCGCTCACTTAGGCAAAGCAGGCTGGAACCACTGCTCCTCTTGAGAGGTGCTCTCAAAGGCACGGGTACAAATGAAAAGAGAACATCACTTCCTAATTGTACCCAAAGACTAAAAGGCCAGGATGAAGCCGGGTTCTCTCCATCCTCCTCAATGGCACCTCAAAAGCAAATCGTGGATGTTCAGTGCATCATCAGAGCCCGAAGAAAACTCCAAGTTCATGCCTCAGATGAAAATGTCTTGCTGCCCTTGACAGGTGACAGATTCTGAGTCACCGGGCACTGCAGAGGCAAGAATAACTCGCTGACCAATTTTTGGTTTGCTCTGTGTTATTTTCTGTCCAGCCAAGCACAGAAAATTTTCCACCTGACAATTCCTGTTTCTCACTTAAGTATGTACACCATCTGTGAGCAATGTGTTCAG